TGTTTACACCATAATTAACCAAGCGTGATTGAGCACCAAGGTAGACATGTCTTCCTCCCTGCCAAAGGGAGATGTTCTTCCGAGGGGACAACCACCTGCCGAAGCTCCGAACTGCCAAACCTAAAACACAGGAGACACGTGTCATCATCACAGCAACTTGCACAAAGTCCCACATCGGAACTTTGTGCAAACCTCCTACTTTTACTTCCTTATAAATAGGGAACAGTAACCAAGAAAAATGGTAACTTCTCTCTCTCACTATTACTGTTACTTTGCAAAAGTCACTACCCCTAGCTGACTCAGGCATCGGAGAGCCTTCAGCCGGCACCGCACCGGTGTCCGAAGCTTAACGACTGCTTCTCCTATCTTTGTCTTCTGCAGGTTAGCCCTCTACTGAAGGCCCATACCCTTCTCTTGCCAAAGACAAATCCCTTATCTCTAAGTTGACCCTCTCCGAAAAAGAGCATCAACACATCTCACAGGATATGGGTACAAAGTTGAACTGAAAATAAACTTTAGTTAATAAAAGCTGAAACTCGATAAACTTCGAATAGTAATGTAATCCATACTCATTGAGATAAAAACCTAAGTTGACTTGACATGTACAAATTACTTGCCACATCATAATTTTGATCTTAAAGCATTAATGGAAATGTATTGCAATCACCAATTTAAACCCTACCTGCCTAAACACAACTGTAAATTGTTAGTTTGGGCTGAAACTACAAAAATTAGGGGAATAACATAGTTGTGGGCTGGCTAGGCTTTAGCCAAACCCAAAGGTTTTCCAATTTCTCTTGCACTTTTAGCGCACAGCCTAACCAATTCTATATCTCAGCCCATCTTGTATTGAAGTCATTCGGAAGTTTGAAGCATAAAAGTAATTATAAAAGTATTAGGGCTTAGCTAAGTTGGCTAGAACACGGCCCTACTCTGCACCCGAGTTCAAATATTTATTCTCGTAATTTAGATTGTGTAAAGATAAGGTACTACTTGATGCATTTATAAAAGTAATTCCAGTACATGCCATATAATATAATCAGAAATGTAGTCTAATTTTACTCTTATTCAAATGTGGCCGTATAACACAAAGCAAATGCAGAGACGTAAGCTACAAGCTTATAGCACTAAACTGAAGGTACGCAAGAAAAAAAGTTAATTAACAAAGATATCTAGTTAACGCTTTAGAAAATTGAACTTCTAACCAAAATGAATGCGTGGAGTTTATGTAGCTGTATACCTAGATTTGAGCTCATGCCTAAGCATGTATACACGGAGAGAGCCTAATAATATTACTTTATGTTAGCATATTCAACATTTAACGCATTGGTAAATTTTTTAGAGTAATGCTAGAAAGATTACATTTGTGTATTATAGGGAACAAAAGAAGGTATTATTGTATTAAGAAATGAATGATATTATTATTTTTTTATTTTATTGATTACAAAATAACTCACGCCTGGGATGTTCTTCCGAGGGGACAACCACCTGCCGAAGCTCCGAACTGCCAAACCTAAAACACAGGAGACACGTGTCATCATCACAGCAACTTGCACAAAGTCCCACATCGGAACTTTGTGCAAACCTCCTACTTTTACTTCCTTATAAATAGGGAACAGTAACCAAGAAAAATGGTAACTTCTCTCTCTCACTATTACTGTTACTTTGCAAAAGTCACTACCCCTAGCTGACTCAGGCATCGGAGAGCCTTCAGCCGGCACCGCACCGGTGTCCGAAGCTTAACGACTGCTTCTCCTATCTTTGTCTTCTGCAGGTTAGCCCTCTACTGAAGGCCCATACCCTTCTCTTGCCAAAGACAAATCCCTTATCTCTAAGTTGACCCTCTCCGAAAAAGAGCATCAACACATCTCACAGGATATGGGTACAAAGTTGAACTGAAAATAAACTTTAGTTAATAAAAGCTGAAACTCGATAAACTTCGAATAGTAATGTAATCCATACTCATTGAGATAAAAACCTAAGTTGACTTGACATGTACAAATTACTTGCCACATCATAATTTTGATCTTAAAGCATTAATGGAAATGTATTGCAATCACCAATTTAAACCCTACCTGCCTAAACACAACTGTAAATTGTTAGTTTGGGCTGAAACTACAAAAATTAGGGGAATAACATAGTTGTGGGCTGGCTAGGCTTTAGCCAAACCCAAAGGTTTTCCAATTTCTCTTGCACTTTTAGCGCACAGCCTAACCAATTCTATATCTCAGCCCATCTTGTATTGAAGTCATTCGGAAGTTTGAAGCATAAAAGTAATTATAAAAGTATTAGGGCTTAGCTAAGTTGGCTAGAACACGGCCCTACTCTGCACCCGAGTTCAAATATTTATTCTCGTAATTTAGATTGTGTAAAGATAAGGTACTACTTGATGCATTTATAAAAGTAATTCCAGTACATGCCATATAATATAATCAGAAATGTAGTCTAATTTTACTCTTATTCAAATGTGGCCGTATAACACAAAGCAAATGCAGAGACGTAAGCTACAAGCTTATAGCACTAAACTGAAGGTACGCAAGAAAAAAAGTTAATTAACAAAGATATCTAGTTAACGCTTTAGAAAATTGAACTTCTAACCAAAATGAATGCGTGGAGTTTATGTAGCTGTATACCTAGATTTGAGCTCATGCCTAAGCATGTATACACGGAGAGAGCCTAATAATATTACTTTATGTTAGCATATTCAACATTTAACGCATTGGTAAATTTTTTAGAGTAATGCTAGAAAGATTACATTTGTGTATTATAGGGAACAAAAGAAGGTATTATTGTATTAAGAAATGAATGATATTATTATTTTTTTATTTTATTGATTACAAAATAACTCACGCCTGGTTAGCGCATAAGAACAAAAACAAGGACACAACCCCAAAATTTATATTAGGGTTAGTCATTTGTTCTCTTAAACAAAACAAAAAAAAGGGCAATATAAATTTTCATTCTTCTCAATCCCATGCACCAAAGAAGTTAGTGTGTTATATCACTAACATTTCTTAGTGCATGTACATCTCAGCCTGAAGCCAGCACATTTGCCTTCCAAGAAGCCCTCTTTTTTGCAAGTATCTGCACAGTTGCTTGATCGGAAGCAAAGTCCCTTGAATTTCGTGCTCAGAGACTCACAAGTCCTCGACTTTTCCTTTGTTGCGGCCTTGCCCTCAGCAACCATTGGACCCGTCCCTGCCAAAGATGCATTGATAAATTAACGAGAGAAGGTGGATTCAAACTTGAAATGTCTTTCAGTATTGGAAAGAAATATACCACTATTCAAATATAAAGATAGAATTAAAATGAGGAAAGAGAAAAATACCAATAGCCACAAAGAGCAGGACGAGGATGAAGACAGTTGAAAACATACGTCCGGATCGCTCCAT